ATATATATATATATATAAGATTCTGAAGCCTAATCCGTGCATCAGTATCTCTCACCCCCAAACCCCAAACCCTAAACCCTAAACCCTCTCCCCTCTCCCCTCTCCCCTAAACCCTAAACCCTAAACCCTAAACCCTAAACCCTACCTGCAATAGACATAACAGCAGCAGCATATTCTCTAAGAACCAAACAAAACGCAGTTTCTTCTCCTTCCTGGGCGCAGTAATCTGCGGGAGAGTTTAGGGGGTACCGCATGCTGCTGTCTCGCTGCTGCTGCAGTCGATGCAGAAACGCTTCTGTATTCACACACATATTTATCTTTTTATTTTTTTTTTTTTACACTAACTGCTGCTGCTGCAGCAGCAGCAGCAGCAGCAGCGAAAGGAGAAGGAGGAGGAGGAGGAGGGGCAGGAAAAGGAGCAGCAAAAGGAACAGCAGCAGCAGGATCAGCAGCAGCAGGAGCAGGAGAAAAAGCAGCAGCAGCAGCAGCAGCAGTAAGAGCAGCAGAAGCAGCAGCAGCAGTAGCAGTAGCAGCAGCAGCAGCAGCAAAGTTGATTGTTTTTGGTTGTGTATATTTCACTTGCCTTGATGAGCGATAGAAGCGTCAGAGATTTCCGTTGGGCCTGAAAAAAAAAAAAAACAAAAAACACCTGCTGCTGCTGCTGCTGCTGCTACTGCTGCTGCTGCTGCTGCTGCTGCTACTGCTGCTGCTGCTGCTGCTGCTGCTGCTGCTGCTGCTGCTGCTGCTGCTGCTGCTGCTGTGTTGCAGTGCAACAAACCTGCACTGCTGCTATAAGAGGGAGCCGTGAGATAGGTGGAGACGGTGGAGACAATAGAGGCAGGCCAGCTGCTGCTGCTGCTGCTTCTGCTGCTGCTGCTGCTGCTGCTGCTGTCTACTGAGGGGCCCCCCATGTAGTGAGGATATATGGGGGCCCCCCCCTGCTGAGAACCAACAGAAGAGGGGAGAGAAGCAGCATCAAGGGGGCCCTGCTGCTGCAGCAGCGGTGTTGTTATGTCTGCTAGAGCTGCAGCAACAGAAATACAGAAAAATATTTATATTTTATTTATTTTATTTATTTAACATTAATATATTAATTATATGTGTTTTATTATATTTATTATATAATGCATTTGCCTTTAATATATAAACAAAATAAAGATATACAAAAGAAAGGACACTGAAAAGAAACAAACACGACAC